TAGTTGGGGATGACCTGGAACAGAAAGAGGGGGCAGACGCTGGGGACCCACGGGCTGGGGGCACAGCCGAGAGCTCTCAGAAATGGTGCCCGCGTGGCGTCCGGGGCACTGGGCCCTCCTCTCTGCCTCCAGGACCCCTCTTCTGGAACCCACCATGCCGTTGGTGATGACCAGCCTCGGGGCGCCAGGGCTGCTGGGGAAGAGGCCCAGAGGGTGTCCGCTGTACATGACCAGCGTTTGATCCTCTGTCATCTTGGACAAGTAGGACATGGTCAGCCAGAACTGGGAGAAGAATAAGAGTGTGAGTGTCCGTGGGTACCTACCCCACGCTGGGTCCCCAAGCCACATCCCAGTGGCTCTGACCTCCAGGTTTCTATTATACTCCAGGGACTCCTGGGGCCTCCAAAATGGGCTTCTGCTGCCCGTTCTTGATTTTGGGGTACCGGGATTGACTTCAGGGGTGCTTAACCACCAAGCCCCATCCCCAGCCCTATTTTGTACTTTATTGAGAGACAGGGCCTTCTTGAGTTGCTCACGGCCTCGCTTTGGCTGAGGCTGGCCTCCAACTTGTGATCCTCCTGCCTCAGCCTCCCAAGCCCCTGGGATGACCCGTGTGCGCCACTGTGCCCGGCTCCTGCCCATTCTTAGAGCTGAAAAGTCCCCAGATACTGTCCTGTGTGGGAGTCTTGGGCATTAGGGATCAGGGACTAAACTCTTTCTAGGTTGGGGTGGGGATGAGGCCACATGGCCACCGTACCTGAGCCCAGTTGCTGAACACTTGTCCATTTCCTCCATAGGTGACCAGCTCCTGGGGATACTAAAGAACACAAGGCATTGTGGGAGAGAGGCCTGGGAAGGACCCGGGGGGCTGTGGATGGGGAGAAGAAGGACCCTCATCCCTTGGCCAGGCTCAAAGAGGCAAGGAAATGGAGTGAGGCCCTGGGACACCCACGTCTGTAAGAACGTTGGCTTGTGTGACTGGGGTCAGGGCTTGGGATATATTAGGATAAATATAGCACAAAATCTGTTCCTTTGTAGTTTTTTTTTTTTTATGTGGCTGTCAGAAAACTGAGCAGGGCACATTGGTGCCTGCGTGTAAAATCCCAGCTCCTTGGGAGGCCGAGGCAGGAGGATTGCAAGTTGGAGGCCAGCCTCTCAAAAAAACTCAAGAAACCCCAAACCACCCCAAATTACAGGCATCCTTTGTGTGACTCTTGAGGTCATGGAGTTACAGCTGGGAGGGGGTTCAGGGACCCCTACATTTGCCTGGCAGCGCCTGCTGAATCGATACTTAAATTCCAAGCACACAAGGTCACTGTGTGTCCCCGGCGCCAGGCCCCAGTGTCCGCAGCCCCTACCTGAGCCACGGCGGGGTCTAGGTTGTTCATGATCATGTGCATGATGGCGGCGGCCGCTCTTGTCCGACTGGGGTACTGCTGGAGAGGGTAGGCCCTGCAAGGGGGGTTCAGTCACCGGGGTGGGCAGGCCCGGCTCCCCTTCCTGCTGACCTGCAGCGTCCACCACCAGCCCACGGTCTTTGCATGGAACCCACCCAGGGCCCTCGACCCCTGAGCCCCGTCCCCAGCCCTTTTTGACATTTTATTTACAGACAGGGTCTCGCTGAATTGCTCAGGGCCTTGCTAAGTGGTCGAGGCCGGCCTCCAACTGGCGATCCTCCTGCCTCGGCCTCCCCAGCTGCTGGGATGACACAGCCACCATGCCCGGCCCTGTTGCTCCCAGATCAAACAGGAAGGACGGTCTGTGCCCATCAGCACGCACCTCATCTGAATGGTGGGGCAGAAGCGGTACATGTAGATGTGCCCGTACAGCCGGAGCTCCTGGGCGAACTCTGGGGCCAGCAGCTTCTGGATGTCGGGTGGGAAGTAGCGCAGGGCGTTCCTCAGGGCCAGCTGGGCAGGGGACGGGGACAGGCAGCTGGGGTGACGGGCCTTCTTCCCTTCCCACCTGGAATGGCTTTGCTCCAACCCACTGACCCACTCTAGGACCTCCAGAGCCTCACCCTAGGCTCATAGGCAAGGTCACCTCCTCCAGGGAGACCTCCCTGATTGCAGCCCCGTCCCCCATCATGCAGACAGAACTAGCTCCTTCTGCCCATCACGGACCATATCTTGGCCTCAGGCCCTGGGCCAGAGAGAGGCTCGCTGGAGGCTGGTGACTGGCAGGTGAGGAGAGGGGCTGCAGACTGAAGGGGAGGGCAGGCGTCCTCCACCCAGTGCCCACTGGGTGAGTGGCACAGCAACTAGCTCCCTCTCCACTGGGCAGCCTCAGGCCCAGGCACTGGGAGGGAGATCCCCGATGCCAGGGCAGAGCCTGAAGCCAGGACCAAGGGCCCAAGGGAAAGGAGAGCCCCAGAGAGGCCATCTTGCCCAACTAGGGAAAGAGCCCAAAGCCCCATGCTCTCCAACCACTCTTTTCCCTTCTGCCTGCCGCGTTCCAGGTCCTGCCCCAGGGCCTTTGCACTTACCCTACTCCTCTCCATCTTCTCTTCAGGTCTCAGAGCAGTAATCTTGCCCCCACGCCCCCACCCCCCCTTTTTTATCCCCAGACCTCTGAATGTGAGGATTTTTTTTGGAGGGGTACCAGGGATTGAACCCAGAGGCGCTGAACCCCTGAGCCCCGTCCCCAACCCTGTTTTGCATTTTATTTAGAGACAGGGTCTCGCTGAGTGGCTTAGGGCCTCACTAAATGGCTGAGGCTGGCCTTGAACCCGTGGTCCTCCTGCCCCAGCCCCTGAGGTCACACCCACCTCTGGTTTCTTTTATTTCACAGACTAACAAAAAAAGTTTACTTCCTTAAATCGATTTCCCAACCTGCCACTAGGTGGCCCCCGAGGTCCAGATCCCCGGGACTGTCCATTCTCAAGGCCACGTGGGCTTCATTCCTGGGCTGGACTTGACATTTCATTAGTGCTTTAGAGCGCTGGACAAGAAAGACCAGCTTCTAATTCTATAATGTTAATTTGTATCAAATATGTTTTTTTGGGGGGGTCGGGGATATTGGGGACTGAACCCAGGGGTGCTAACCACTGAGCCCCATTCCCAGCCCTATTTTGCATTTTATTTAGAGACAGGGTCTCGCGGAGTTGCTCAGGGCCTTGCTGTTGCTGAGGCTGGCTTTGAACTCGCGATCCTCCTGCCTCAGCCTCCCGAGTTGCTGGGGTGGCAGGTGTCACTGATTTTGTTTTCTTTTTAAGGACATAGAGACATCCTGGGGGCATCTCAGCTGTACTGATGGCGTGTGGCCGGGCCTCAGTGGCTGAAGGTCCAGACACCGGCTCCCAGCAGGTAGGGGACCCAAGGGTAAAAAAGATCAATCACCCGCTGGACACCTGGGAGCTGAGCCAGATGGGCGGAGCCAAGGGGAGCCACGCCCCTGCGATACCAGCCACGCCCCTGGCAGTGCCAGCCCCGCCCCTGGAGTAAAAGCCCCGCCCCAGCAGCGTCAACCCGGCCCCTGCGGCGTCAGCCCCGCCCCCTGCGGCATCAGCCCCGCCCCCTGCAGCGTCAGCCCCGCCCACAGCCCCCGAGCTCCACAGGATCCCCCCTCCCATCCCTTTCCCTGCCTCTTCCCGGCTCCACCCAGCCCCGACCAGACCACAGCGACCCTCAGCCACCCTCCAAGCACAACCCCGACTTTGGGTGGGGTTCAGGGGAAAGCCTAAGGGGCAGCCACCCAAGGGGGCTTTGTCTGGAAAATGCTAGGGTTCCTCTTTTCATCTTTGTGCCTATTTTGTGTTTTCCACCTCCCACCCCTGTTTCTGAAGCCTTTGCGTCAAGAAAAAGGATCCCGGGTGCGGGGGAGGCTGGGGCTGGAGGATGGCAAATTGGAGGCCAGCCTCAGCAATTTACAGAGGCCCTGAGCAACTTAGTGAGACCCTGTCTCAAAAGGGTTGGGGACGGAGCTCAGTGGTTAAGAGTCCCCGGGTTGAATCCCTGGTACTACAAAAAAAGAAAAAAAAAAAAAGTAACTAAGTAGGTGGAAAACTCTATATAGCGCCACACCACTGTCCCCAGCCCCCTTGTGTCCCCCGTAGGATGCTAGGCGCAGCTTCTGTGCGCATGCGCGCCTGCGGCAGGCTCCTAAGGCCAGTGTTTGGGGCAGGGCACGGTACACAGGCCTGCTGCTGGCTCTGGGCCATTTCACACCCAGCCCGTTTGTCCTCCCACTAGAGGTGGCCTGTGTGCCACCACTTGCTGGCCCGGTGACCTTGAGCTTCAAGATCGTCATCTGCAAAGGGTGAGGGTAATTCCTGGCCCACATGGCCTGTCCCCTGCTCCCCTGAGAGGGCCCAGCGGCTGGGTGAGAGACTGAGTAGGGGGCAGGAGTAGAGGGTCCCCGTGGGGACATCTGAGGGGACACTAGGTCCCCGCAGGCTCCGGCTGAATTCTTACCTGCTCTTCTGCAGGGCTGAGGCCAGGGGTCCTGACGGGGGCGTGGGGCACCCCAGGCCAGCGTCCCCGGTTCTCTGGCAGGGGTCGCAGGGCCAGGCCCGAGCACAGCTCCTGGAGGCTGGACATGTGTGGCTGAGAGTCGAGGCCAGCGCTGTGCAGAGGCCAGGAGGAGACTGGGCAGTAGAGGCCAGCAGGGTGGGGACCTGCTGCCTCAGGGCCACCTCCTCCAGCCCCTCATTGGGCCCAGGGCTGGGGGAAGGAGCCACGTGCAGGTCACAGGGGCAAGTCCTCTGGTCCCTGACTGATAGGCGGCTGCCTGGGTGGTGACGGGGGGAGGGGCCGGCTTCCTACTGGGGACAGGCTGGACGGGGGTCCCCTGGTCCCTTCCAGTGGGGTGGCCTGGAGGGTGGTGCTTTGTGGAACATGACTCTGGGGAGCTGGTCGGGCTCCAAGGGGGTGTTGCTTTGGCAATCTTATGGGGGTGTGACACCACTGTCACAATCCATGTTGAGTCCCAATGGTCCTGGGAAGGGACACCTGGGTGTGACTCCAGCTCAGCTCCTGACCAGGCCTGTGGCCTTTGGCCTCATCCCTATCTATTAAGTGGGTGGTAATTAACTGCCCAGGCTGCAGGGACAGGAAGTGTCCAAACACCCTGTGAAGGGAACAACAATAAGGTCACTGGCTGTCACCTACCAGGGCTTGATCTTTTTTTTTTTTTTTTGGTACCAGGGATTGAACCCAGGGTGCTTAACCCCCTGAGCCACGTCCCCAGTCCTTTTTATATTTTATTGAGAGACAGGGTCTTACTGAATTGCTTAGGACCTTGCTAAGTTGCTGAGGCTGGCCTCCAACTCATGATCCTCCAGCCTCAGCCTCCGAAGCTGCTGGGCTTGCTGGTATGCACCACCGTGCCCGGCTAAGCTGCCCATCTCTAACACACTTTATTTTCTCCATGTCACCATGCATATCCATCTGTCCCTATTTTCTATGTCCTCGTATATAATATAAAGTCAATGAGAGCAGACGCTGTGATAGTCTGATTCTTTCCACTGGTGCCTGTGTATATAGGGGGTTGCCACCTGTGGAAGGAATGAAAGAGGGACAGTGTCTGTGGGGGGACAGCAGATGCAGAAAGGGACTTCTCAGGGAAGTTCCAGAGACTCTGGGCCTCTAGCCAGGCCTCTGCACCTTCCTCCCCCCAGAACCTTCTAGTGGGTCTCCCCATCTCCAGGATCATCTCTCAACTCAGAGAGGCTGAGATGTTGTTCTCAACTGTGGCCACCAGGTGGCAGCCTGGAGCCAGGACACGCAGCAGGACTCTAGGGGCTGGACCCGGTACCTGGGAGGGCAGGTGGGAAACTCAGGAATGGGGGTTAGGTGATAAGTGGGGTGGCAGGGGACATTGATGGCTTGAAAGCTCTGGGTCCTGGACCAATCTGGGGGTGACCGGGAGGTCACCAAGGCTGGAAGAGTACACGATAAGGAGTGTCTGGTTCTGTCTGTGAGCTGGGTTTCCTGTCACTTGAGAACCATGATCACCAGTTGAGGCCACATCAACTATTATTTACTCCATCTTCTTCCTCTTCTTTATTTTGGGTCCCAGGGATTGAACCCAGGGGCCCTTGACCACTGAGTCCCATCCCCAGCCCTATTTTGCATTTTATTTAGAGACAGGGTCTTGCTGAGTTGCTTAGGGCCTGGCTAAGTGGCTGAGGCTGGCCTCCCACTTGCGATCCTCCTGCCTCAGCCTCCCAAGCCACTGGGACTACAGGTGTGGGCCACTGGCCTGGCTCCTGCCTTTCTTTATCTTTCCAGGCAATTTCTGAGGACTTCCTGGTGCCTGAACTATTGCGGGTGACACAGATGAGGCACAGCAGGGTAGGGGGGCATGTCCCAGGGGGTCCCGTCCCCTTCCAGAGGCTGGGCAAGATCTGCAGGAGCGGGAACTCTGGCAGGATCCTGCCATCTGGTCAGGAAGGTAGGGGACAGGACGGTCCTGGGGGGACGAAGGGGCACTCTTGTGACTGATCCTGGGGGTGGGGCTCCTGTAGGACTCAAGTCCAGGGGGCCACCCCCGTAGGCTCCTGGGCTCACTCCAGACCAGCCCTGGGCGCCTGGCATGTAAGGAAACCAAATGTAAGGGACAGTAGCTGGGAGGGACCTGCTCCTCCCACTTCACCACTGGAGAAGGCTTCTTGTGACACTCCAGGGCAGGGACTTTCTGGCGAGTTCCCACCCGCCCAGCCTCTGCCCTGGGCGGGCTGCTGACCTACTCCGTGGGGGCGGAGTCTGAGGACTTGTGTCCCCACCTGCCATCGCTCGCCTCCCCAGTCCCCAGGCTCGGTGGAACGCGCCACCCAGGCGGGCCCGGCAGGTCCTGGAGCCCGGCGCCAACGTCCCCCGCGCTGTGCAGCGGCCTGTCGCCCCTGAGTGGCGCAGCATGGGCAGGCGCTGCTCCTGGCGGCGACGCGCCTTGGTGGCCGCGGGTCTGGGCGCTGCGCTGCTGCTGTGCGCCCTGCGCCCCGGTGAGTGACGGCCCCGGTGAGTGACGGCCCGGCTCCCGCCGCCCCTCCACGCTCTGGGTCCCAACCCCCAGCCCCACAGCGGCCTGTCCCCTGGAGATGGCGGGGCCACCTGCTGTCCCCTCCGTGGCTCTGGAGGCAGGAGGAGGTGGAGAGCATTTGGCCACCTTGGAATGCAGTCCCCTGGAGGTAACCAATGGGATCAGGACCGTCACCGCGAGGGGACAGTGGACTCTCTTCAGTCATCAGCTGTCCATTTGCAATGGGCCCTGTCCCCTGGAGTCCCCCGCAGTCCACACCCTGGGAACACTGGGTGCTCCTCTGGACCCTCCCCCACCCCTCAGGTCTGGTCTGGCTGGGAGAACTGGGCCGCTAGTCCCCACTGCGCAGGCCCCAGCCACTCCCTGGCCAGGGACAGGACACTTGGAGTGCTCAGAGGTCTTCCTTGAAAATCTCCCAAGCAGCCCATTTCATAGAGGAGGAAACTGAGGTCAGAGTGGACCACAGTGTCGATGGCTAAGTGGCAGCTGTGCAGTCTGTCTGGTGCTGGGGGTTACTCAGTGGCCTGATCTTGGTGACTGTCATTTCCCTGTGTGTGTGTGTGTGTCGGGGGGGATGTCTGGGGGTCTCTTCTGGCCTCCCCCATCCCCACTGTGGACTCTGTGAAACCCTTGGACCCTCCCGGACAGCTCCATATCTCAGGGAGGGAGGACAGCAGGACCCTGGGATCAGGGTGACCGAAGGAATGAGGCCCAGGGAGCACTTACCCACGGAAGGACAGAGGGCCCGGGCTGGTGGCCTAAAGGCCACTCAACAAGTCCTGTTGAGTGAGGCTGTGTCTGTCACAGCACACAGCAAAGCGCACTCAGCCCGCACCTGGGTGGCCTTGGGGATGGCACCGAGCTACTGTGGCCTTGGGGAGGACCTGCCTGCTCTGGCCCTGCCTCACCTCTCTCTGGGGCGGAGGCCAGGGCTGGGCTGTGGTCCAGGTGTGCAAAGCCAGGGGTGACCCTGGGGTACCTACCGGGCCTCTGCCCACTCCCCCGGCCCCTCTGCGACTCCCTCCATGTCTGGACGCAGCTGGGGCCTCTCTGGGCTCAGGAAGGAGCTGGAATCACCTATATGTAGGGAGACAGGGCCTTGCTAAGTGGCTGAGGCTGGCTTTGAACTCGCGATCCTCCAGCCTCAGCCTCCCAAGCCACTAAGATGACTTGCGATCCCAAGCCGCACCACCCTGCCCAGCTGTTTTTAATTTTTACTTTGAGACAGATCTCACCAACCTGCTGAGGCTGGCTTCCAACTTGTGATTCCCCTGCCCCAGCCTCCCAAGTCACCCGGTCACCTTCTGGGTTCTGACCCTTCTGATGTCCCTCCTCTCGCAGCAGAACGTGGGAGAGCGGCTTGTGTGGGATAAGGAAGACAGAGGTGACACTTGCCAGGTGCTGTGGCACACAACTGTAATTCCTGTGACTAGGGAGGCTGAGGCAGGAGGACTGGGAGTTGGAGGCCAGCCTCAGCAACTCAGGGAGACCCTGTCTCTAAATAAAACACAAACTATGGCTGGGGATGTGGCTCAGTGGTTAAGGCCCTGTGTTCACGGAGATGTCCTTCCACGTCATTCTTCCTGGAGACGGTGAGGGAAGGGGCCCAGGGACCTCAGGTGCTGGGGACAACGGGTATCCTGAGAGCCTTAGCAGAACAGGGTCTTGGAGACTCCCCGGGGCAGCCCTGCAGTGTAGGTGCTGCTGGTCAGCCGGGCTGTGGGGTGGCTGTCTGCTCGCCGGGTCTTGCAACACTGTCACCAGCCACAGCTTATTAACTGGAAACTGGGTGGTGTGACCTTTGCCCACAGCACAGGGAGTCTCCAGATAACCTGTCCCCTACCCATGGTGGCCTCTCCTAGTCTCTTTGACATCCCTGCTCCCTCCCCCAGCCCCTCCCCGGCCTCCTGTTTTTCTGTTTTCAAAGCAAAAACGCCCTCCTCTCCCCCGAATGGCCCCTGGTGGCTGCCCTGGGTCACCCAGCCTTAGCTCAAAAAGCCCAGGCCTGTCCCCCTAGGAGGGACTTGGAGCTGAGGACCCTGGCCCAGGCTGTCCGGGTAATGGGAGTGGGGTCCCCTGGTGTGGCCCTGCTGGAGGGTCTCCGGGGGAGCTTCAGGACACCCCTCTTTAGATCCTCTGTCCTCTCTGTCCCCCTCCGTGGCCAGCCAGCCCATCCGGGTCCTGTGGTCTGGGTGCTGGGGGGGCGTGGGTGTGGGCAGGGCTGGACCTGCCCTGTAATCAGTGGCCACAGCTATTCTGGACTTTTCTCTGATGCCTGACCCCTTGTCCCTGCTGCCCGCTGGCCCTGGGGGACTGCTGCAGGCTGTGATCTGCCCAGGAAATAGCAGGCCTTGGGCAAGGGTGGTGCATCCGGTCCAAATTGCAGGGACCTGGAATAGACGGGCTGCTCCCCAGAGCTGGCTGCTCCCCAGCTGTGGCCCTGGACACACCCCTTCACTGAGTGACCTCAGGCTAGAGGGGCAACTCTCATCTGCAAAATGACAAGAAGGACCCGCCTTCTCTCTGGGTGGTGAGGTTGCTCCCCCCCCACAAGCTCAGCCCCGGGGACAGCTGCTGTACCAGGCCAGCAGCCGTGGCCACCCGGGGCCTCTCCCAACTCTGAGGGACCAGCCAACATGGCTGCCCTCTCCTGGTGACCGTGTTATTCGGGGAAGGCAACCACAGGTCCCCCAGAGGTCCCTGAGTCCCAGTCTGGTGACAGAAATCCAAGTTCTAGAACCATCCATGACCCCCAAGGGTCTCAGGCAGGCCTCTGCCTCCTCCCAGTGCCCTGGTCACAGGGGAGCCTGGCTCTTGTTCCAGGGACACATGGCATCATCCGGGGTGTGGAGGGAGCCTGAAAAATGTGTTTCGAGACAGGGTCTCGCTAAGTGGCTGAGGCTGGCCTCCAACTCCCAATCCTCCTGCCTCAGCCTCCCAAATAAATAAAAAGGGCTGGGGACGTGGCTCAGTGGTTAAGTGCCCCTGGGTTCAATCCCTGGTACCTAATTATTCTATAGTG